GGCCCAACAGAACTCTGCCACGCCACGTCACGGTCTGTGAACGCCACCTGGCAGGCCCTTGGTGTCGCCTGTGACTCCCTGTGCTCTGGCTGTTGCATGTCTCTGAAGGGCACCCACCCCATTCGTAAGCTAACTCACCTCCCACAAGCAAGCAAAGAGCACCCATCTTCTTAAGCACTGCTCACGTCCCCTTCCAAATAACCGAGTCCCAAAAGCCTAGATCGGCACGGGACCTAACATTTTGGTTGGGTACTTCCACAGCAAATCAATGTGCCTACTTAAAGATGTATTTTTCTTATGCCAGTGGTTTCAAACTTTTTCATATAGGATCTTTAAAAAAAGCAGAATCTTGCATGAAACCCCAGCAAAGGTAGAAAGCAGGGCCAGAAATCCAACCTGCACTCTGGGTCTGTGCTCTGCCCAAAACTTTACCTGTGTTATCTTCTTTAACCCTCACACCAACTCTTTACAAAGAGATACAATTAGTCCTGGCTGGCGTGGTTCGGTGGATTGACCACCAGCCTGCAAACCAAGAGGTCACTGGTTTGATTCCATCAGGGCACATGCTTGGGTTGCGGGCCAGGTTCCCCTTTAGGGGTTATGTGAAAGGGTTTCTCTTCCTCTCTTTCTCCCCCTCCCTCCCCCACCTTCTAAAATAAATAAAATCTTTTTAAAAAAAATAAAAAGAGGTATAATGAATCCCATGTCACTCTGGAGCCCTGGGGATCACAGACATTGATTCTTGAGGTCACGCAGGTCAAAAATGGCAGAACTGGGGGCGAAGCCCAGGTCTGAGCACTCCCAGCTCTCAACCACTGCCCCTCTGGTCTGTCTGTGAATTTCAGCTCCATGCCAGGGTGAACAGGACACAGACTGTGCCCCCAGGGACTCTCGGCCAAGCCAGGAAGCAGGTGGGAAAAAGGCATCCTTACAGTCCCTTAAACACAGCCAAGGAACTGTAACACCTCCCCGCCCCGGTCCCCATCCTCGCTGGGCACACCCTTCTCCTAGCATCGCCCTTCAGCCAAGGACCCTCGGGCATCCCTGCTGAGACCTAACGGAGGGCTACCCAAAAGGAGGTGCAGGGGTCAGAGCTAATGGCGACCCTCCAGGGTAGCAGCCCTACCCTGGGCTTCTCCGCGACACCCGTCTCCTGGGGAATGCAAGTGTGTCACTCACGGCCTCTCACAGCTGCTGCCTGGGCTTCCAGACCAACACCACTCAACTGCACGGGGCTTAGAGGATCCCCTGAGACAGGCCCTCCCCTCTGTGCAGATGAGGGTCCTGCTCCAGTTACACTGCAGCAGCAAACTTCCTTTAGGGAGCAACTGAACGCTGACCTGTCACAGCCTGCCAGCGCCATGGTTCCCAAAGGCCGGGCGCTGTTGCCCACCCCGCCCTCCTGGAATGTTTAGCCCTTGCTCATTGTCGAAACTGGCGGTGCTACTGGCAGAGGCAGGGGATGCTGCCGAACAGCCTTCAGGGCACAGGAAACCGCGCCGCCCCCCCCCCCCACAAAGTTTCATCCATCCCGACATGTCAACAGTGCCCACATGGAGAAATCCTGGCCTCACTTTTCCAACCACAGATTGACTGAAGTATGCACATTATCAATGAGAACTGGAAAAAGCTTTAGAAAAAAAATTTTTAAGACACAATCATTATTTACATTAGAATCATAGGTAGCTGCTACTTAGATATTGCCAAGAAGTGTGCTAGATGCTTCACCTATTTGATCGCTAACCTTGCGTAGCACTTTACGCCTCTGTTAAGACTCAGAGAGATGAAGTCACTTGCCCAAGGTCACGTTGCTGCAGAGCAGAAGGGCTCACACTGAGCCGGGCCAGCCTGCCTCCTGAACCCCCGCCCCACCCGCAGTACCTGGTCCGTCTCCCCGCTCCCCCGGGAGACACTCCTTAAGGGCAGGGACTAGCTCCGAGGTCAGTGGCGCCCACCAGAGATGCGCATCACAGCCTGCACGAAGCAGACTGAAGGAGGAAGCGAGAGCCGGCCTGCAGCTCCCAGGCGGCCGTGCGCAGGCCTGAGCCAGCCTTCCCGCTGCGCGCCTGCTCCCCAGCCCCCGCCACCCTCTTCAGGAGAGTCTCCAACAGGCCTGCTCCCGAGGGCCCCGACGCCCTCCACGTCTTCCTCCCTCTGAGCCCCTTCCTCTCGATGAGCTTCCCACAAGACCGCCCACGTGGCCTCCTACCCCTCAGCAGAGGGCTCAGGGCGGAGATGGAGGGCAGAGGGCACCCGGGTCGGGAGAGTTGCTGGGGCTCAGGGGCTCAAGTGAAGCAACAAGATGGCTCAGAGGCCTGGGCTGGGAACAAAGGACCTGCCCTGGACCAACACTCCCACGGCCCGCAGCCCTGCGAGCGCCTGCTGCGGGCCAGGCCCTCGCGGTGACACCCCTGTGAATTCACTCACCCATAAAGTGTTTAGTAGGTTCCAAACGTTTTTGGCACAAAGCCCTTTCCCCTTCAAAGGAATTCTATATTGAAACTCTAGCCCTGGCTGCTGTGGTTCAGCGGACTGAGGGCCGGCCTGCAAACCAAGGGTCGCTGATGCCATTCCAGGTCAGGGCACCTGCCTGGGTTGTGGGCCAGGTCCCCAGGTCGGGGTGTGCAACCATTCGATATTTCTCTTGTGCATCGACCTTTCTCCCTCCCTTCCCTCTCTCTAAAAATAAATAAAATATTTAGGAAAAATAAACTCTCCTCTAACACTTTAAGATCCTAAGACAAGAAACGCACCCTGAGTTTGCCCATGATATCATGTACGTGATTCGTTTGTCCCTGATATTCCACCGGCCGCCCAGAGGAACCTAATGAGGGCTCACAGCAGTGTTGCAGCCACCGAGACAAAGACAAGGAAACAAGAGGCAAGGACTGAGGCAAAGAGGAGACATCTGACTTCTGGGACACAAAGCCAGCAAGGACTTCGCAGAGCCAGGGGCTGCAGGGGACCTGCAGGAACAGACGGGGCTCCCTGCGCAGGAGAGCACCCACAGGCCGGCAGAGGAAAGCGGCAGGCAGGCCGGGGCGGGGCGGGTTGCCACTGTAAGCCGCAGGGCAGCGAAGCCCCCCCGCCGGGGCCACCTCCTCCCCAGAGGCCCAGGGCAAAGGCCCCATCACGCCTACCACGCGGATGAGGAGGCCGAGACAGAAAGCGCAGGACGACGAGGACGACGAGGACGACGAGGACGACGAGGACGACGAGGACGACGAGGACGACGAGGACGACGAGGCTCAGGGAGGCGGACGAGACACGCCAGTGCCCGTGGGAGCACTCACTCGCGCTGTCTCCGAGGTGAGAGAGACAGCTAACGCCATGGTGAAGCGACCTGCGCCGGGTCACACAGCTGGGACAGGGCCCAGGCTCCTGAATTCCAAAGCTAAGCTCTCTCCTCGGGGCAGCTTCCCAGCCACCCTCCGTTGCAGCAAGGACCCCCAGTGACTGTAGGAACCTGTCCCCTGGGCCCTTCGCTGGGAGCCTGGTCCTGGAGGTCCGGGATGGCCCCAAGGGGCCGCGTGAACAGGCACCCAGGGGTGTTCGCAAACAGGAAACAGCGACGACGCTGGTCCAAGCAAAGGGATCCGCTCAGCCACAGAGCCGCGCTGCCATGACACGGTTTCAGGGCCACAGCTTCGGCAGGCAGGGTGACAGACAGCCTCCCCCAAAGTTCCCGGGCCGCTCCCAGCGGGGGCGATCGCTGGTGACTGCATTCGGAGACCGGGAGCGCTACTCACGGTAGCAGCACGTCTGCCTGTCGGCTCATCAGAGAGGAGGCGCCCTACGGAACACTGTCATGCCGCAGGCCGGTTCGCTCGGGACTGGTCCTGGACTCATCTGAGATGGTCTCCACGTGCAGCTAAGGACGCCACGGAGGCAGCAGCAAGGGTCAGCTTGTGTGTGCCCAGTCCAGATGTCCTGGCCAGCTCCGGCCAGCACATCCCAGCACCTCGGCGGGACACGTGCGCTGCAGCATCCAGCACGGGGTTTGCTGGCAGTGCACACAGGGGCAGCCAGGGTCAACCGCAGATGTGCTCCCACCGCCGAGCCCGGGGCCAGACCCTCCAAGGGGCCGCTGTGGGGCAGCCGGCCACTCCCTGCACGCTCCGCCACCCCCGCGCCCTCCTCACAGAGTTTTGCGATTTGGGGGCTCCCGTTTGTTCATGGGCCTGACTGCTGTGCCCGCTCCACCACCCCCACCTGGAAGCCCACCCACGTCTACCTGTGACCGCTTCCACCGCTGCGTGGCGCCTGCACTGCCTGCCAAGGGCAGAGCCTGGGACACAAACACTTGCTGAATGTACACAAAGATACCAGTAGGGGGCCGATGCTGCAGAAGCTGTCCCCACGGGGACCCCCAGCAGCCCTGGTTTGGCACCGGGGTGACAGAGCGCTATAGGGAGTGGAGTGCACAATCTTGTCCAAAACAAGTGAGAGCACACACCTCAGCAGCGACGCCGAGGCCAGAACATGAACCCCGGTGCACAACCACGCAGGAGCATGGGGACACAACCAGGAGAGCCCAAAAATGCCAGCTCCGAGTTACGCAAATGAGGGCAGGAGCTGGAAATGTGGGTTACTCACTCTGGTACCAGCCTCACCAGCACCCTCTGGCTGGCACAAGAAATTCAAGGTGTTAGCATGAAGGGCCCTTCAGAGGTTAAGACTGACAAAGTAAGGCTACTGATCTGCTAACGTAGACCGCTTGTGAGTCATCCTCAGCCGCAGCCGGTCAGAAGCCAGGAAGTGACAACAGACTGTGCGAGCGCGCCAGGGACACAGGAGCGACAGCTAGCAGAAGGAATCAAAGAGCAGCGTCACCAACAGATCAGTCCTACCCGACGCTCTGCAGGATTCAGGGCGTGATTACTGGTGCGACAGGGGCCTGCTCAACGGGGCAGGAAACATGCAACGCATGCTCGACAAGAACAGTTCAACTGGTCTGCATTCAGGAACCGACATCTTCCAGAGAAACAAAGATGTGTTACCTGGTAAAGAAGTTACTGAACGGTCCCAGTATTTTCAATTTACTTCCCTCCGCAACGGCATCTACACAGTCCTGCGGGTGCGGGTCATGGCTTTCCTTGGTGGAGCTCAAGGTGACGTCAGTAAACTGTGGGTCATCATCATTCTCCAGGGTCACGATGGCACTGGAGCTGCTCGTGACCACAAGGTCCAAGATGTCCTCATTGCTGACGGACAGTGTGGCGGACAACTCTGTGCCAAGACTGGACACGCTGCAGACCGAGACATCGTCGCTGCGGCTCAGGGCTTTGGAGGCGGGACTGTAGAGCTTGACCGAGTCGTAGCCCGTCCTGGGGAACGTGGAGGACTTCCGCACGCTCTGCTCCCCCTCAGCGCCGGAGGGGGCCGCCGGCGCGCAGGAGGGCAGCGGGCACGCGCTCTGGCAGGCCCGCTCAGGGACTATCTCCGACTCAGACTGCTTCCTCTTCACGTGCACCACGCTGCAGGGCACGGGCTCCGGGTTGCTGATCTCCAGGGTAGGAATGCCTGAGTCCACCGACTGCAGGCTGTGCTGATCCGGCGCCCCAAGTCTCAGCTTGGGCCCATACGCAGACAACGACAGGGACCGGGGCGCCTTGAGATTCCTGCGCTGCAGGTTCTGGATGTGGTTTCCTGGCTGCCCATCCAGAACGCCCATCAGGGCTACGCCATTCGTAGAGCTGGAAAGGCTTCCATCAGTCATCTTGGTCCAAGGAGAAACTAGGAAAAACACCAACATGGAAATTAGGGCCGTGGGGGTAAAAGCCAAAGACGCCACTCCTCCGATGCACAGCTCCAAAGTTCTGACACCTTTGTTAAAGAGAGATCCCTTGAAAAAAGTCCTGCATACCCAACTTCTAATTCAAGACTGGCAGCTGGAGGTTTAACATAAATTATCATGATATAAAATAACAAACAGGAAGGTAACTCAAATAAAAAATACACGTAGGGTAAAAATGGATAAAATAATCACCTGCGCCATCCTCATCGCCACCCGCCAGTCACATCTGTGACCCCAGCGCAGCTCCAGCAACAGCATGAGGGCTGTGCCAGGCAAAGTTGTTTTGGGTTTGTTCTTTTTTAAATGATAAACAGGCTCAGTTGAAAGCATGTGAATTCATAACCCCATATATAAGCCAACGTTCTCCTTGCTCTGAGACAGCATAAAAATCAAGCTGCTTTGTCCTGGCCAGAGGGCTCCGTGGGCTGGAACGCTGTCCTCTGCACCAAAAGTTTGCAGGTGTGATTCCCAATCAGGGCACATGCCTAGGTTGCAGGTTCAGTCCCTGGAGGCAACAAATCGATGTTTCTCTCTCTCTCTCTCTCTCTCTCTCTCTCTCTCAAATCAATAAACATATCCTCAGGTGAGGTTTTCTTTAAAAAACTCAAGTTGTTTTTAAAACAAGATCAATGGTACACGCAACATGCAGCGAGGTTACCCCGACCACATCGCCACCAGCAGCGGCCCCCACAAACGCTGTCATCACCTCACTCGGGCCTCAGAGCTGACGCTCACTGTCCCCCTTTCCACAGGGGAACCTGAGGCGCAGAGCTCAGGAAACGGGCCCAAGCTCACGTTTTCCTTAGCAGCAGGGCTGGGACGTGGGGGCCGACCCCTGGAGGGGCCACACCTACCGGATGAAGGGCCTCCTGTGGAGTGAGAGACACTCCCGACAGCAGGCTGGCTCAGTGAGGACAGATTGAGTGACAACAGCAAAAGGAAGACCAGAACCCTCCACGATAGGCTTGAGTGAGATGTCAAAACGGCCAGTGACATCCCCCCAGGGCCCTGCCCGCCATCCTCTGGCTTAAGACTGGGGTGGGGAGGAGGGGCGGGAGGGGTACCCCCTTGGACAGCGTCGTCCCCAGGGGACTGAATGCCCTGGCATATGGGACGTCACCCTCTACTGTCCTCTAAAAATGTCAAAACTAAAGAGATCTGGCTCTGTGGAGCAGACCACCACAGGACGGTCCTGGGTCCCGGCCTGGCCCCCCACGCTGCCGCGGGAGTTCACTTAAGCACCACAGAGAGGAAGCGCTCAGTGGGCTCCTATCAGCAGGCGCCATCCAGCAGGCTGTGGGCAGCTGCCGTCAGCACACGGAAAGTCTCGTAGGGCGCCCAGGCTGGGCTGCAACCACGCCCTCCGACAACCGCGCCCTCCGACAACCGCGCCTCCGACAACCACGCCCCCCCCCACTACCACGCCCTCCTGTGTGTTTTTTTAGTTTTTATAAAAAAGTCTTCCAGCTCCCCTTCAGGAATCTGGCCCCTCAACAACCCAAAGAGAATTCACTAAGAGCAGAAAAGGGAGGAGGGGTTCATCTCCTTCCCACCCCGAAAATGAAGGAACCAGTCAGTGGAGCGCTGGGGCAGAAATAGAAATATGAAGGAATGAATCAAAATGCAGAATTCAGAAATAGACTGAACCACATATAAAAACCTGGAATGGGACCCAGTGAAGAAGGATTATCTAAGCATGACGTTACACTCATGGGCTATCAGTTTCTCTAGAAAAGTGGAACCACACTGTGCTGCATCAAAACAAAAATGCAAACAAAACTAGAGTTTAATACAGAAACGAAACTGTCAAGTGCTGCGTATAAACAAGTGTTCTCCAGGCACGGGCAACAGTGCAGTTGGTAACTGCGCGGAGACGGGTACAGGAGATGGAAGAGGGTGGAGGGGAGATATGTGGCGATGCAAAAAACAATTAATTATTTAATTAAAAATAAATAAAAATTAAAAAATTCACAGTAAAAACTCAGTTCATCCCCCAAAAGTATCTGAGCCCAGCTCACTGCATGTGAACACATTTTAAAGGCTTTTCAGCTCACACCGCTCTGAATTTCCTGGGCTGTGGCCCTCCCAGGGTCCCCGGCAGGTCCTGAGCTACTCCCGAGCTAGGTCACCACAAACTGCCTCGGGGACCCTGCTCCGGGAGTCTCGGAACTGAGCCCACGCCGCGAAACGACAGGGCTCACACAAGGGAGACAGGGCAAGCCAGCCCTGCACAAGCCTGAAAGTTCTGCTTTTCTATTTCAATTAAAAGGGAAAACCATAGTTAAGAGTTAATCTTTGGTGACGTCAAAGGTCATGAGAATTATCAAAAGACCACCAACACTCCAACAGGTCAAAGTGGCAGAAAGCCCAACCTCAAGAGGAAACCCTGCAGAGGGACAGCCTCGGACAAGCCAGGCCAAGGCTCTGACTCCGCCACCTGCCAGCTGGGGCGACCTCGGGGGCGGGGGAGACGCGAGCCTTTCTGAGCCTCAACTTCCCTCCTCCCCAGCAGTGGCAAGGGGCCATCCCACAGAAATCCCAGGTGGCCTGGCGGTCACTGAAAGGAGGGGGTTTGGTGAAAGCGCCCGGCTGGCGCACCCTGCACCTGCCACACAGCAGGCACCCAATAAACAGAAGCTTTCTCTATTTTAGCCACATTAAAAGCTCAAGTACCTGCAAAAATATATATATATACATGAGTTTGAACTGAAATACAGGAGTGACAGAAACGCGTAACAAGTGCATTAAGCGAACCCAGGGACCCCTTCTCCTGAGTCACCCGTGAAAGCGCACAGGGAGGAACGGGAAGCACAGGCGCGGGCCTCGCGCCCCGTCCTCCCTCCGCCTCCGCAGAGAGCAGCCGAGGGCCTCCTCTAAGGGAGCCGCTGAGCCACCGTGGAGGCCTCTGCTGGTTCCAAGTCCAGTTTAAGTTCCTTAAGCTTCAGGAACAGGGTGTTCCTTCAGGGAAATAAACCTAAAAGGGAAAAACTACCTTCACTTGCAACACACCCTAAAACCAAAATCTGCAAGGGCTGAGGCCACCTGTCCTCAAACGTGCCCACCTGGTGCCTCCAGCCCTGGAAAACCAGGAGCCGCACTCCCGGGAGTGCCCCGCCTTCCAGGGGCGCCCTGCGGCCGGGGGGAGGTGGGGGTCGACGCGCCTGCTGAGACAGGCCGCGGGGCGAGCTCTGGACGCCCGCCAGGAGGCCGGCTGCCAGTGGCCTGCCTCCAAGTCACACGTTTCTAAAGACAGAATAAGCCTGCATTCCCCGAGCTGGCACAGGGTGCGCCAGATCCGTCCCTGCTGGCCCCCCAGCCCCACGCTGGTGCTGCTCTCGGCCCTCTCGCACCCAGGGTAACGGCGCCATGCCCGCATACTCTCCCAGCTGGGCCTTCCGTGCCCCTCGGGACCTGGCAGCAGATGCCACCAGGAGACAGCGCACTTCCAAGGCCACCTCCTCTGAGAAGCTTTCCTACCTCTCCCAGGAAGCTGCAGGCCCTCCCTCCTCCTTGGCTCCTCTTGGCTCCATCCCACGTAAAACGACTATATTTACAACTGTCCCCACGTCTCCCTGCACTGGCTTCAAAGCTCCAGGAAGGCACAGCACTAATAGCTCCCGGACACCACAGCCTGGCCAAATGCCTGGCATGGATTAAGGATTCAAAAATCTATTTGCCTAATTAACTATTACTGACAACTACATTCTAAGTGGGCAGGTTTCAGGAACAGTCCATCTAAGAAACATCTGCTGAGAAATGGGTTATGTTCCAAAAACGAGGTAAGCAGCAGAGGAAACAAGACAAGGAAAAAAATCCGTCCCAGAGGGCTCCTGGCACATGAGTGGACGACAGACACAGCAAGGGAGCGATGACCACCTGCGCCTCACGTCTGCTGCCAGGCCTGCCAGCGAGGAACGCTGCCCGCGGTGCACGGCGCAGGAAAGTAAAACACAACTCCCCCTCCACAGCTGCTTCCCCAAGGCCACACCACAACGGCCCGAGAACGCAAGCCCGCCGCAGTGGCCACCACAGGGCGCACCGCAGGCTCTCGGGCACACCCTGGCAGCAGCCACGGACACGCTCGATCCAAGTGCAGTGATGACCAGCCGCCACCTCCCAGACCAGAGAAAACGCACAAGCCGTCACGCATGGCAAAGAGGGAGGCTGCATTCGCCCTGGGCAGCACGACCACCTGAACTCCTTCGCCTGCTGTGAGGCTGGGCGCTGCAGGCAGCAGAGCCCCGAGGGATTCGAACAAGCTGCCCTCCGCTGGGGCCACGTCCTGGGTCAATACACGTCGGAACAGGGACAGTGGCTCTGCCCGTGGTTCTGAATAAGGCTGCGAAACAATTCCATCTGGAAGCAACAGTTTAATTTTCTCCTCCACAAAAAGCAATAGGACTAAGTCTTGACTAAGTCTTCATGAATAAAAGAGTTTATGAAGCCAAAACCAGATGATTTAGATGTGTCCCTAGGCAGGAAAGTGCACTCGTTGGTGGGTTCCGGGAGAGGGCGCACCGCCCGTCCACGCAGACGTCCTCCGGCTCCTTGCCGTCCACGACGCAGCCCTCCTGGTCCGGCTCCTCTCTGGAGACTGCGGAGGAGAGCCACCCCCTCGCGCCCGTCAGCGCCGGTCGACGCTGCTCTCCCTGGTCCGCCCAGGAGGCTGCGGGCACTCAGTTTCACTGCCTCGCTGCCCATCAACCCAGCCCCGCCCCGACTCCCTACCCTTCCTCTCCAGCGTCCAGCGCACCACTCTCTGCGTGGCACTTCCCCTGTGGATGAGCCGGCTCCGCAGAGGGCTCCGCAGCACCGCCCACCACCTTCCTCTTTTTAACTCAGGACCTGGCCCGGGCAGAAAGGCTCCAGGAAAGGAAGGCACAGGACGGCCCAGGGCTCAGGTGGCTCAGCATTAACAATTAACCACAGCAGCGGCCCCTGCTCGCCAAGCACGCGTCACACGCTAGGCGCCGTGTTCAGTGGTCCGTGTTCACACTCGCCCTCTGCGTGACCTCCACGACCCCTTCATTACCAGCTCACAGACACGCGACAGGCACAGAAGGTACATGTGACAAAGTGGTTGTGCCAGGGCTGACCTGACCCTAAAACACTTCCTCTTCACATGGCTTGCACAATGGCCTAAAACAATGGGTTGATCTGTATTTTGTAGGATGAAAAGTCAGCTATAAAAGTAGTCTGGTTTTTAAATGGGTTATTTAGAATTTTTTTAAATCCTAAAAATAAAAATTTCTTAGCTCAATATACTCCTCTGCAGGGTAAATGGCAACTTTTAGGCACCTGGAATTTAACACAATGTTGTTTAGTTAAGTTTTGTTCCACCAGCAAACTAGGCAGAAACTGGGGCTAAGCTGGTGAGGGTCCCCAAAGGCCCCTTTACAGACCTAAGGAGCAAACACTGACATTACAGTGTCTGATAGTGGCTATGTTGAAAGGCACAAGTGGGGGCATTTTAAACTAGGAGCTTTCAATGCGTGGGGACTTCCCCATGACCCCAAAATGTTTCAACTCCATTTAGTGATTTACCAAAACAAATCTTCACAAGCACCTCTGTGACAGGGGCAACTGGCAGGTGAGGGAGACATTCGGGCCACTTCCGAAAGCCAACATCATTTACACTCCCGATTACTAATAAAAGGCGCTGTTTACCGGAGACTTGCCACGGCCAAAGGTGCTGGGTGCCTCCGTCACCACAGGCCCTGTGAGTGCTCTGAGGATGCTGAGGTTCGGAGGGGCTGAGTACGTCACCGGGGCTCACACAGGAACAGGAACTGGACTCAAACCGGGCCTGACATCAAAGCCACAGAAATGACTTGCTGGAGCGCTGAGGAGCGCGGCTCAACGGTTAACAGCTTTTTCTGCGTGTATGTTAGCTTCAATAGGAACTTTTTAAAAGTAAAATAAACAAGGGGGAAGGTTCTGGAGGTAGCCTGTCTGGGGTCAAATCCCAGTCTTTCATTTCATATGACTTTGCACAAGTTTCTTGATTCTGTGCCTTAATTTCAAATGGGGCCAACAGCAGACCCTCTCTCCTTAGGCAGCTGACGGATTAGGGAGGTAATCCCCGCAAGCCTCTAGAGCTGTGCCAGGTGAGAGTTAAGCCTTGGAAAGCTGGCTGGTGTTCTTCTTTCCTGGGCACCAGATAGGGCCAGTCAGCTCTGGCCCACTATTTTAGCAACTCATTTGCATGAGCAAGCTCAGACACAACCAGCCTGCCCGCACAGCCTCCCTGCACAGCTTCTTCCTGTCCCTGACATCTCTCCTCTCTCTGCGCGGCGGCACTGACAGCTCTGGGCCTCCACTTCCCCACCTGTGAAACGAGGCGATCAGCCCAACTGATCTGCCTGAGGTCCTTCCAGCATGACATTCTGAATCCTAAACCCAGGCCCTAGAAAGTTTCTATCCACCCTAAATCACACATAACAAACAAAACAGCCATTTCCCTAAAATGCTTTCACATACTTTTAATGTCTATTTTGATGACAAATCTTCTCCAAGGTCTCAAAGGCTCCCCAGCAAGCACAGCACGCTGGGTAGGCATTCCCCACTCTGCGGCTGCGACAGGAAGGCCAGAGGCTCGGACCCGTGGGGGAGACAGACTCCCAAACAGGTGCTCTGAGAGGCGGGGCCCTCCCTGGTAGGGGAGGCCTTCAGCAGGGCACCCGCACAGGGAAGTGGACGCATGAAGAACAGGAGTGACTCACGGGACAGCGGGGAGGAAAAATGAGGGTGCAGAGGGGGCGGGAGGGGGCCTGTGGCGAGGACGGGAGGCAGTGAGCAGTGCCCAGTGAACACTCTCACCGACCTGGAGCCAGCCCACCCAGGCCCGGTGAGGTGCTGCGCACGGCCTCCCGGGACCGTGGGGGACACCGAGGTGCGCAGACCTGGAATCCCACCTTCCCCTGTCCCCCGTCAGGTGACCCTGAGCCAGTGCATCACATTACTTCCCTAGTTTAGTTTCCCAAACGGTGCGATCCCTCAATGCTGGGCCCAAGTCCAACAGCCAGGTTCTCACCAGGGCTGGGGACCAGGTGGAGCCCACAAACTCAAGGAGTCGAAGAGATGCGAGACCTAAGACAGCCTGGGGGTATAGGGGCACCGGGGACAGAGCAGGGTATGTAATAATACACGGGGAAGAAGTGGCTCCCAAGCTTGAGACGGGGGCTGGTCCTGGCCAGACGAGCAGGGCAGGAGGAAGTGTTCCGAGGCTGCCGAAGGAGAGCCGGCCCGGGCAAAGCCCCTCCCGGTGCCCGGCGCTCAGACCTGAAGGCTCGGCAGCAACACGCCCTCCGGAAAGGCGCCGGGACAAGGGCGAGGGCCACAGCACCAGACACCGGCCGCAAGGCCTCCTGCACGGACAACCCTCCAACGCACAGCTGCCCTCTCCACCTTGGCAAAAACAGTACCCTGTGCAATTTTAGGGCAGAAATGGTTTCACGTGCCCAGGCAAGGGCCCCGCCACTTGTGCCCAGTGTGGGGCCTCGGGACTAGAGCGTGCAGGGCCAGTCCGCTCCACCGCCGCCTCGCCGCCTCAGCTCCCAGCGCCGACTCCTTCCTCCAGGCAGCTCCCTGCGCAGCAAGGACCGCCTGGGCGGCACCCCTCACCCCCGACACACCCCGGCTGGGGCCCCCCGGCCTGGGTCACCGAGGCACAGGGGGTCCATGGCCGGGGGATGGGAGTCCTTGGCAGAGGCACAGTGTCCGAGTAGGTAGTGTCTGAGGCCTAGGAACAGGGATTCCAAGAAGGAAGGGGGTCAGAGGCTCCACCTCTGGTGGAGGGGGGAATCCAAGGAGCCGGGGACTCCGCGGTGGAAGGGTCCCGGCGGCCGGGAGGGGCAGATCCACGCGCCGAGCCGGCTCCACTCCGAGCCGGGAGCCTCGCGCATTTGAGGGGGCAAACTTCGTCAAGTTCCGGAAAAGAAGTGTGTCAGAGCGCGCGTCTCACTGAGGGGCGGTCGAGCGCCAAGTGCCGCCGGGGCCCCATAGAGTTCCCTCGGCCGCACGCGCTCCCCAGCGCGGGGCAAAGCGGCGACCGCGCAGCGAGGGGGCGCCGGGTCAGGACCCGGGCGGGCGCTGGCCATCGCCCCCACCCCGCCCGCCTGAGGCCGCCTCCCCGCTCCGGCCGACGCAGCAGCAGGTGGCAGCGGCCCCGCGCGCCTCGGGCCCCTTCCAGCCCCGCCCCCGCCGCAGGCCCTCAGTACCGGAGTTAGCTCGGCTCCGACTCCATCCCGGCGCGCAGGTACCCCCAGGTCCCGCGGGACCCGCAGCTTGCGCGGCGAGAATGCCTGGAGCGCGGCAGGGAGCGAGTCCGGGGAGCAGGTGCGCGCGAGCCGCCTGCGGCCAACGGCGGAGCGCGCCCTCGCCCCGCCCCGCGCGCCCTCGCCCCGCCCCGCGCGCCCTCGCCCCGCCCCGCGCGCCCTCGCCCCGCCCCGTCCCCTGCCGGCCGCGGCTGCTCTTCTGCCGGAGCTGCCGCCTCCCGCCGCGCCACCGCTGCAGCTCCTGAAACTCGACGCTCGCCCCGCAGCCCTTCCTGCGGCCCACTCGCCAGTCCCCCGAGGGCCCCGTAGCGGCGTCGCCGGCCCTTTTCTCTCCCGAGGACAAAGCGGGGTCGCGAGAGGTGCCTGAGGGGATCTTCTGGTTCGCAGAGCCCCCGTGGACACTCGCCTAGGGCCTCCTTACCTGGTCGGCTCCACCCGCGGCCATCTTGGAAGTGGGAAGCGGCCGGGAGGGGGAAGGGGCTCGAGCGGGCAGGGACCAGGCGTGGGGAGCCGAGCGGCGGAGCGCATCGATGGGCGCCCCTGCCTCTGGGCAGGTGTGCGCGAGAGGAGGGGCCTGGCTCCATCCTGGCGGAGGGTAGGAGGCCTCAGAACGTCGCCTTGGCGTCCGCGTTGCCTGGCCTTAATCTCTTAATCTGTAAAATGGGCTTTTCTGGTAGTTGTCCTCTGTTGAGCTCTTACTCAGTGCCTAGCGCCTGGGGATGTTTGAAAATGCCAAAACCCAGGCCAATTACTTGGAGGCGAGGTACAGTTTTGCAAGTTGTGTAATGTGCACCGAAGTTTGGGAACCGCTAGCCTAGCGTTTATGTGCATTATTTCGCGTCAACATTGCAGAAACGACTGGTCAGGGTCTGTGATCAACGCCGTGTAGTGTATAGAGAGACAGATGAGCGGTTTGCCCAAGACACCTGACAGTAGCTGGGAGGGGTCAGAAGCCAGATGGCGGGCCCAGTCCACCTTCCAAAACCTCGCGAGGCCCTAAGTGAGAAAGCTCTTGTCAGGCAGTAAGTAGCACGTTTGTCCTCCTAGGTGGAGGTGTCCTGAGAGGAACCTGGCCTGCCTTGTTTACTGTTGTGTTTCCTGCGCCTGGCAAATAGTAGACACTTAAATATTTGTTAAATTGTCATTGTATTTTGGGGACATCAATGCTGGAGGAAAGACTCCAGTGGCAGGGAGCCACAAGGCCTCGCTCGCCCACTAGGCTTTGATCCTGCCACCCAGGAGCCCTGAGCGCTGTCGCAGGCAGAATTACCAGAGAGGAAACCTCGGAGGCCGGCCAGCTGAGTCGAGGGAGGACCCGAGAGCAGACCAGCCGGGACAGGAAGGGTAATCTCGCCAGCCCAGAGAGCATCTGGGCGCCTGCAGTGGAAGATTACTTTGTGGGGGCTGTGGTCATGCCGGTTGGGCCAAAGAACCCCTGATGGTCTCGGGTCTCACAGCACTGCAAACGCTTAGCACTTCCTAGTTACGATGGCAGGAGGGTGGGAACTTGAAAATGACAAGCTCTTAATAGGGTACATTAACACTCTCACAGGGCTTGGTGCATAACAGGAGCTTCATAAATGCTTACATTTCTAGGTGGTTTTAAGGGAAAATAATACCAGGTCTCCTTCAACCCCCAACGTGGCCTCCCCAGCGTAAGGAAACACTAACAGAAAAGTACAGGCTTGCTTTGGGCCTGAATTAATTAGCAACATAATACGTCAGATTAATAAATCTGCTTTTACCGTGTTCCTTGTGACTCCACAAATCCCTCCCAGCCAGCCTTCGTTCTGAGTCTTGGGGTTTTAAAACCCCACGGCGACAAGGAACCATTGTCCTGAGTGCAGAACCAAATGAAGGTCGTGGTCCATGGGTTTGCCTTGGCGCCCTCTGTTTGCCTTTTTGTCACCCCCTGCCAGGCCCACTGTGCCCCCCGCCCCGCCCTTTTCCCGGGGCCCAGAGCCCCCCATAGAGCCCATTAGTCCCTTACACCCTCAGTCACTTACACCCCTGTCTTCCCATTTGTCATCGGCACCCAGAAGTGTTGTAGATGCGTCCTCATCACAACTGAGTCTAACAAAGTTAAAAAGACAGTGACCAAGGCCAGCTGTGTGGCCGTGCACAGCCACCCCTCTCAGCAGCTCAGTGCCTCCCTGCCCCCCTCGCTGATGTGGAGACGAGTGTCCGCGGGGTCCACGTGGACAGGCCAGAGACACAGGGACAGAGAAGTGCCCAAACAGCCGGAGTGGCCAGGACCAAGGAGCCTCTGCGCTTTGTTGCAAGAAGCAGCACGCAGACCATCACGCTGCAGCCACCAAATTGTATTTTACTCAGTTCTGCAAGTGCAGTCACCTGTCTCCTACCTGCACTGGGCTAAAGTCAGGGAATGTGGGAGGCAGGACTCCTCAAAGCACATTTGTGACGGAGGTGGTATGGCCTTAGCGAAGGAGGAAGCAGAAGAGAAAACTACAGCCCTCAGGGTTCCTGGGGTCCGACACACTCGTGAAATCACCCCCAGTCGCAGCCGGCCAATGCCACCGCAGTGTTATTTGCAACAAGGGAAGGGACATGGTATAGAAGCCCCACCAGGAGGGAAGGTTAACTCAATGGAGCCATCTTAAAAACCTTTAAAGAACTTATTACATAGCACAAAGGAAATGCTTGCACTATGAGTGATACGGAATTTGAAATAAAGGACAAAATTGAAGACTGTACTCCACACCCGCTGCCCCGCGCTGCCTGGGGCCGCCGGCCTGTGGCCATCTGCCGACCCAGGTCTCTTCTACCGGATGGGGCTTGGGCAAAGCCAACTTCAAGAGCTACCATGTAAAAGAAGACGGCGAGAGGGTAATGCTGACGACTAGGCCCGGAAATGCTCAGCAATCCAGGATAAAAATAAGCACAACGCACCCCAATACAGGGTGATAGTTCAGGCGACCAAGAAAGATCCCGTTGGTCAGGTTGCTTGTGCCTGTCAGGAAGGAGACGGGGTAGCCTGTGCAGCCCGTGCTCGTGAACCCCCCAGCAGCCCGCCCACGGGCGCCGCAGCAGGCTCGTCAGGGCCCCGGGGCGGCAACTGCGGTGCAGAAAGCGTCGAAGGTCTGCCTGCTGCCTTCGCCTGCTGTGCGGGTGCGGGGCTTGCCAGAGTGACCAATGGAAATAGTGTTGGGGCCCAGAAGGGAGCTGCGGATGGAGGCCTGTGTGCCCCTCGCGGTGCCACGCGAGTCTCCGGTCACGATTCAGAAAGCAAGGAATTGAGTGCAGGAGCGCATAATGGTCAGAAGGTCGCAGATGAGCCGCGTAACCTGATGGAGAAGACGGGGAGGCTTACGAGAGCAGTCCGCTCAGTGCGTGAGTGGGGCGCTGGGCAGGGGCCCGGGCCATGGGAGAAGGCCTGTGAGAGAGGGTAACGGCAGGTGGGGGGGCAGGCGTCCAGCAGGTCTCTCGCCCAGAAGACAGGCTGGGCAGTCCGAGGAAGGTAAGCATGGTGAGGGCTGGGAGCGGGCTGCCGGCAGCTAATAAACCGAACCGAGTTTTCAGGGATGAAGACCTGTCAGAGATGAGCAAACTTACTGACCAAGCCAAAAAAAACAAAAACAAAAACAAAGACTATAGAATTTGCGTGATCCATGCAGTAAAGGCAGGAAGAAAACACCGAAGGAATATAGCACACACGTGATTTGCTCCTGCCCCTAAATATTTTGAGACTTCGATTTCCCCAGAACGGACACACGCTTTATTTACAGTGAACAGGTGCTAAGATGCTCACTGGGGTGAGTCACAGACTTGGAAGAGCATGGTGACGTGGGGCCAGCGGGTGAGGGCTCTGAGGCCGTGGCCCTCTCACCAAAGCCCCACGAGAAGCAAGGCAAGGGCTGTGCCCGTTGTGTGGATGGGGAGACGCGGGCCCCAGGAGGCTGGGTGGCCGAGGCAGGGCCAGGCACTGGCTGTTACGGGAGTCCCGGCTGCAGAGCCCACCTTTGTCACAGTCTCTCTGACTGCCCCGGAGGCTCCACGATGCTGTATCATTGCCTTTTACTAGGGACACTTGAATCTAGGTGGGTCTGGCCCAAAATCAACTGTCACTCATTCCCAGGGCGCCCCAAGTAATTGACTGGAAGAAGTAAGTTACAAGGAAACCAGGGGCAGAGGCCCTCTGGCCTGTGGCTCCCGGCTGTTCACAGGTGCCCAGTGCAGGAGGCCTTACAGCTCTAGGTGTAAAGGAAGCAGGAGACGCTTGGGGGTGGGGCTCCCTGTTACCAGCACACCACAGTGGAATTTTCCAAACAGCCTTATTTTTTTTTTTAAGGTATCACCCAGTTTGCCTGCTGCTGCTACCGTCAGAAAGCAAAGCCCGATTTAGAGCCTGCAGCAAGAAGTCTCACATGGGAGCCACGTGAGGTGGGGGCAGAGGGGGCAGGAGCACGCAGCTCCCTCCTACCCCGATGACCCACTGTGGGGACCTCCCCCCCAGGGTGAGGCTGTTGCTGCGCCCGAGGTCTCTCCAGGCTCACAGAATTGCCTGCTGCCCCCAGAGCACCCCAGCGCCCTCTGCCCCCACCGTCGCACCTGCCCCACCCCCTACCGGGATCTCCGGGAACTCCCTCCCTCCTTTCCTTCCTCGTTCCCTCCAGGGGTGGCTCAGAAGGTCACCCGGGCCCTCTGGCCCTCGAACATGCTCCGCAGCTCTTACCCCACATCGCACCCCCAGGCTGCCACTGGGCTCCAGCAGCCTCTGGGCCACGTCCCAGATACCTTAGTGCCTTGCAGGGCCTCTCTGCCGCCCCCAGGCCCCAGCGGGCAGCTGGGCCCACGGAGGAGCGAGCAGCCGCGGATGAGCCCTGCCTGTGTGTCTGCTCCTATGTCCTCGCCCTCGGCAGAGAGGGGCCTGGGGGTCAGACGGGGAGACTTCCTGCCCGAGGCTGCAGGGCTGCTCGGGCCACGGGCAGGGTTTGAACCCAGGCCTTCTAACAGCAAGAGACAGACAGACAGACATGCGCGCGCGGCTGGCCTCAGCCCCTCCTGTTGACAGGGACAGGCTTCCTAAACGTCCCAGCACCTCTGCACGGCCCCCATCCTGCCTCCCTCCTG